ATGGTAAGCTATATTCTTCTCTCATCTATCTCATTTTTCTTGATAGTACGCATCTATCTCATCCTCTCACTATTCTATATATAGTATGGCAGTGAGTATGTCCTAACTGTTTACGGCCGTAAATGATGAATGGGTGCATTAACCCAGGGCCGTGCAATTCCAGCGCAGTGAAACGAATCCATGACCGTGGTGATTTCTAGCAGGACTGAGCAAGCACGCACGCGAACTAGCGACCCTGCCAGACGGAACAGTACAAACACACTGTCAGCACATCGATGCCTTTTCCGTGATGTCTTGTATATCGAACATGACAATCCGCTCTCTCTCTCTCTCTCTCTCTCTCTCTCTCTCTCTCTCTCTCCCGCGCGCGCGCGCACACAAAGATACGTATGTTCAGGCCCGCCTGGTGCCGTGCCCGCTCGCCTCACATTGTCTTGCTGCCCCGCTGGTTGGCTTCGAAGGTAGCCTGGCCTAGTTGCGCCACTCCCCATCTGCCAAGATCTTGGTTGCATCTGGACATGTTTTTCTGTCCAGATGCATTCGAAGTTAGCAGATGGCGAGTGCTGTAACCAGGCGTTAATACTTGGGATTACGCGAATGTGCTTATACCTTTGCCGCAGACTCGGGCCGGGGAAAGGGGGCACAGTTGTGACACGGAGCTTGGAAGGCGAGGCGACCCTCTTCCCCCGAACACAACGCACCGGTCCCTCATTTCGCCTGTACCTGACGGGAAGTATAGCTTGTATACATTCATTATCAGGGTGCATCATGTTTGGGGAAGACAGTAGCGGAGGAGCACCGCAAGAGATTCCCGGCCGTCGTTGTCGCTGCTCCCTTCGTGCGCCTGTTGTGGCCATGGGGTGGAGTCTGGAGACTGGAGGTGGTGGGCCCTGTGGTGGAAGCAGCAGCCTACAGGCTACAGCTGCCACCTCGCACACTGCGGCCCGGCAGCTAGAGGGAGCAGCGTTTCTCCCGTACTATGATCATTTCGGCCTCGCTCTACTACTCAACAACACATTTGCAAATGGAAAAAAAAAAAAAAAAAAAAAAAGGAGAGAATGGATCTTCTCCTAGAACATGGAAAGTTGCATCTCCCATATTTTTTTGTCGTCTTTTTCGCATTTGTTGAGTCCTTGAGCGAGGCCCAATCGGTTCATTGGGGTGCGAAACTACGTCGAATCGCCGCAGTCACGGCTGTAAGCAGCACACAACGGCTTCTGGGCCTGCTGACGACGGAGAATAGCCGCTCTTTACCTCGTCCTCCTCCTCCTCCTCCTCCTCCTCCTCATCATCATCATCATCGTGATGCATTATCATGATCATCATCATGATCATCATCATGATCATGATGATGATCATCATCATCAGTAGAGACGGCAGCATTGCGCCGGGTGAGGACGACGGCCGGCTAAGATGAGGTTTGTACGAGGAATAGTCGTTTGCCTGCTCGTGCGATTTGCGAGCCCAGGTGATGATGGCTATGGAGGGCAGGGGATGAGCCGTAGCCATGAGACGTTTCTTTGCCCGCTTGAGATTGGCAAGCTCGTCGGTGAAGGCGATAGCGGCGGAGGAGGATAGTATCTTGTTCACTCGAATACAATGTAAGGTCATTCTTGCTGTATTTAGACTGAAATATAACCCAAATACAGTTATGATGAGCGTAAGTTGTAAGGTATGGTGGTTTGGGAGGACAGCGATAAAGTGGAGGCGGGTAACACTACCGGTAGCGAGCAGCTCTCTATCTCTCTCCTTTCGTCGCTTGTTAACTCCTACCCCCCCCTCCTCTTTCTCCTCCTCTTCCTTCTTTTGTTCTGTGCGTCGTTTCGACTCTTCTCCTTCATCAGGGGTTTGCACCTTGGTGGAAATCCATCTTCGACTCCTCCTCTCCCCCCCCTCTCCTCCCTCTCTTTCTCATCCTCCGCCTCCTTTTCCGCCTCCTCCTTCTTGCCACTCTTCTGCTTCTCTTCGTTCCTTTGGTGTTCCACGCCCCTCTTTTTTTTTTTTTTTTTTTTTCGCAGGGCCCATGCTAATCTTCTGTGTATCTTCCCGGCTTGTAAATAAATGAAACTCTTTTGAAGTAAAAAAAAATAAAAAAAATCTATGTATGGCTCCGAAATTTTAGTGGATGCCCCAAAGGGCACCTCTTCTAGTTCACGGGTTGGGAGAGGTGGTGCTACTGTCTTCCCCCGAATAGAGCGTCCACCAACGGGCCTAGCTCAGTTGGTCCGCCGAATAAAGAGGACACCAAAGGGCCTAGCTCAGGTCGAATCCAGCTGCGATCAGATGAACGATATAAATAAAATCATTCTGAATTACCTAGGGCCGGTCAGCTCAATGACGATATCTCAAGGCCGTCGCCCTTTTTTTTTTTCAAAAAAATGAAAAAATAATAGAGATCGTACGGTCATTATGCCCGTATTTCGGGCTACCAAGTTTCAGTCTAGTTACAGCGATAAAGACCGTCCGCTCTATTCGGGGAAGACGGTAGGACGAGAGGAAGTGGAGGAGGGATCTGTTAGGTAAAGGGGAGGGAGGGGGGAGAGGGGAGGGACGGAGAGGAGAGAAGATTTAGCTATAGAATGTTGGGCACGGGAAGAGATTGGATATATATATATATCGTCAAACAGGCTTTCCTTTTTTGTTTTGTCTTTTTCCGCCTATGCGCTCCGATTCACAGTGTGACAATATATAAATATGACGATATATATATGAAACTCCGACGAAACAGTTTGTCACAGCCCCTCGTTTGTTGTCCTCTTCTCTCTCTCTGCCTACGGTTTACCGGGCAGTTCTGTTTGTCACGATATATATCTGAAACAGTTTGTCACAGCCCCTCGTTTGTTGTCCTCTTCTCTCTCTCTGCCTACGGTTTACCGGGCAGTTCTGCTTGTGACGATATATATGTACGATGTATATATACATATATATATGTCTGTTTGTGACGATATATATTGTCACACTGTAAATCAGACCGCCAAGGCGGAAAAAAGCAAAACAAGGAAAGGAAACGAAGGAAGGAAGGAAAGCCCCACCTGTTGATCACCTCTTACGTACAACGCCAGCCACGTGGATGACAGGTTGAGCGCTGGCTGCCCCCATCCCCGTGTGTCATATATAGTTTACTACTTGGTTCTCTCCTAAGGGGGTGAGGGGAGGCTGGAGATGGTGGCGGCGATGGTGACGGTGCGCTTGAGAGTGTAATGGTCTGAACGACTTGCCCGGGGCTACTAAACCGAGCTGCGTGTGAGAGTTCTTGTCTATGATACACTTGGTTGTTCGACAGCAGTGAGACGCTATCGTGTCATTCGATGAACGCTTTCCCAAGTCTGGAGTATCCAAAAAGAAAAGAAAAAAGAAAAAAAAGAAGGGATTTAGTAGCAGCACTTGCGTGATGGCTCGTGAATTGCGTGTCGTGTCATTCCATGAATGGTTTTGCAAGTCGGGGGAAAAAAAAAAAAGAAAAGAAAGTGGCGCTTGCAGGGGGGGGGTGTCACGTAGCCATTGGGAGTGGGAGCGGGAAAGACTGAGAGACAGAAGACGATCGTCAGAGAGTGTCGCCGCGTCCGCCACGTGGCGCAGAGAGATTGTTGCCTCAGCTGACACGTGTCAGATAGCTACTGCCGCAAATATGATCGGCGGAAATTGCGTACTCACGTAGCCATTGGGAACAACACGATCGATACAAATTGTTGCGGCATTTGAGACGTGTCAGACACCTGTTCCCATATCTGACACGTGTCAGATAGCTGTCCGTTGAGAATACGATCGTCGGAGATTGTCGCTAGACCTGCCACGTCTCGCATAGACATTGGAGAATGCCATCCGTAGAGATTGTTGAGGCAGCTGACACGAATCAGATAGTCTTTGCCGCGAATATGATGGGCGGGAGATTGATCGCTGATCTGACACGTGTCACGTAATCATTAAGAACACGATCTGACACTTCAGACTTGAGTACACGATCAGCAGAGATTCTTAGAGGACCTGGCACGAGCACGAGAGGTACAGATTACGAGTTGAGAAGACGATCAACAGAGATTCTTAGCGGATCTGACACGTGTCGTGCAGACACAGGAGAATGCGATCGGCGGAGATTGTTGCGGCATCTGCCACGTGTCACATGGTCTCTGGGATCGCGATCCAGAGAGATTCTGGCGGCATCTGGCACTTGTAACATGGCCATTAAGACTGCGAACGCGATCGGGATCGATGGTCGCGGCATCCGCCACGTGTCAGGCATTGTTCTTTAAACTGCCGAATGATTCATCTTCTCTTTCTCAATGATTTTCTTACCATTTTTTCTTCCTCCTCGTCCTCTCCCCCCCCCCTCCCTCTCTCTGTTTGCTTCGTCTTGATGTTTGCAGAAGATCTAAACCATGCTATCCCCACCAAGATCAGCTATGGCGGCCTGTGCCTCCAATGGGGGAGGGAGTTGTTGTGCTGCCGTCCCTGAGCCCGGTGCTATCATCCATGACAACGTGAAGGAATACTACGGGAAGACATTGTCATCGAACAAGGATTTAGAAACGAACGTCTGTGCAATCGCGGTAAGGCAACCAAACGTGTTTTTTTTTTTTTTTTTTTTTTTTTTTTTTTTTTTTTTTTTTTTTTTATAAGCTTCGATGTATGTGTGAGGAGTAAGCGAACCACCCTGTCATGGTAATCAACCGTAATTGCTCTCTCTTTTTTTTTTTTTTTTTTTTTCCGTCCCGCCCGCTTTGATCTTCCTAACCTATCCTTGTTCCCAGGCGGCCATGCTGTGCCTCTAGTGCCAGCGGCGTGTCTGGAGTGTATTTTTTGGCTGTGACAGACCTTTCTTTGTTTCGTGGATGTTTTGCTGGCTTGCGATGGGGTGTGAACCGACAGTCTGTAGAGTTTTCCATCTGGTGTGGGTGAGTGATAGTCTACTTTGATTTTGGTTAAGGTAGATTATCATTTACAGTGTAATCAGTGAGGGGATTCTGCAGACTGTTGAGGGTTCAGCCTCCTGATGAGTCGGTGAAACTCCGACGAAACAGTTTGTCACAGCCCCTCGTTTGTTGTCCTCTTCTCTCTCTCTGCCTACGGTTTACCGGGCAGTTCTGTTTGTGACGACATATATATTGTCACAAAAATACCAGAGTGCAAAAGCAAAAAAAAGGAGAAAAAATCATATTCATTTTTTATCTTTCTTACTTAAAACTCCACCTGTTCAGAACCTCTTGCGTACAAGGCCGCCCACGTGGATGTAGGTTGAGCGGCGGCTGCTCACACCCCCGTGTGTCATATCGACCCACTTGCACACAGCCAAAAGGCAAAGAGGCAAAGAAAGAGGAAGGGGACAGCCAAATATAACAAAACAGGGGGAAACAAACATAACAGATCCTAGATGACAAGTCCCACATGCAAGCACCGCCCCCTACGTCACAGGCCAAACGACGGGACAATGACCAACCAGGATATCAATCAACACCCTTGCCTGCGAAAAAAACAATCCCATATATATTGTCACACTGTGAATCGGAGCGCAAAGGCGGACAAAAGCACAACAAGGAAAGGAAAAGAAGGAAGGAAGGAAAGCCCCACCTGTTCATCACCTCTTACGTACAAGGCCAGCCACGTGGATGACAGGTGCTGGCTGCCCCCATCCCCGTGTGTCGTCACAAGGACCCACTTGCACGCAGCCAAAAGGCAAAGAGGTAAAGAAAAGGAGGAGGAAACCATATATATCGTCAAACAGAGCTGCCTGGTAAACCGTAGGCAGAGAGGGAGAAGAGGACAACAACCGAGGGGCTGTGACAAACTGTTTCGTCGGAGTTTTACCGACTCATCAGGAGGCTGAACCCTCAAAAGTCTGCAGAATCCCCTAACTGATTACACAGTAAGTGATAATGCACCTTAACCCGGGTTGTGGTTAAGCATCAACGACTGCCCCACAACTGATACCCCTCTGAGGTGGTGGGGACCACCAACCACTGCCCTCAAGGTACCTGTGACGAAAATCAAAGCAGCCTATCACTCACCTACACCAGATGGAAAACTCTACAGACACTGTTCACACCCCATCACAAGCCAGCAAAACACCCACGAAACAAAGCGCCTCGCTCCACTACACAACATTGTACATGCATTTGGACGCTTGAGGGACCAGGTGCATTCGAACTATTCCAACGTTGAGAACGTATCCTGTGAAAAAAGCGTCCAAATGCATGTACAGTGTTGTGTAGTGGAGCGAGGCCAACACTGTACATGCATTTGGACGCTTGAGGGACCAGGTGCATTGGAACTATTATTCCAACGTTGCGAACGTATCCTGTGAAGAAAGCGTCCAAATGCATGTACAATAGTGGAGCGAGGCCCAAAGAAAGGTCTGTCAGACTAGCTCAAGTGGTTAGGAACGCAAGTGGCATTCAGGAGGTCGTGGGTAACCCCCATGGCCGCCTGTGGCACGCTCGGTGCCAACCAACTGAGATAGTCAGCTGGATCCTCCCAGTCGGTCTCAGTAAGGTCTTCAGCCAACATGGGTGTGATTGCGTGTGTGAGTGGGATGCGTGTCGTGTGTGTGAGTGGGTTGCGTGCCGTGTGTGGGAGAGTGTTGGCTTTAGACACTACTGTTACCCGATGGGGGTGGGGGAAGATGAAAAGGGAGGCACAGTTACTTTTACTGGCAAATGCTCGGTCCTTGTGTTAGCCGGGCGCCGACCAGGCGGCCCCAACCCTGCACCCTAAACGCTAGGGCAAAGGGGCAAACATGCCGTGACCTCCCTCCACCGAGAGAGGTAACCTCCCTTCACCGAAGAGAGGTAGAAAGCTATGCTTGCAGGGGTCCCCTGTATAGCCTTTGAAGTAGTGTTAGGTTGTGAAAGGAAAAAGATATGTTCCATGACATGGCCGAACACCAGTTAAAATATGTGAGGTGAGAGAAAAATATATAGCTGTCCCCCGATGAGGAGAAGACA